CTACCACCTTGAGGAGAGACTCCATCTATTGGTGGGGAGCATCACCTGCTGGAAAACGGGTCCAGCGTCTCTGTTACAGAATGGAACAAGATGAATCAGGAAACAGAAGACATGAGAGAATATCTGAAAAAAGCCTGCCAGCATTGATTACTCTGGATTTCCAGAGGATTAACTGAACAGGGTGCTGAAGGGTGTTGCTGATGACAGTCCTCTCCTCCTACAGAATGAAAAATTTAATGACGGATATCAGGAAAGAAGTTTGCCTGCCAGCATTGATTGCTCTGGATTCCAGAGGATTGGCTGATCTGAGCAGGTAAAAGGAAAAAACAGGGGAGGGAACCTCTTTGCCCCCTGAATTCTTTCTTTCTTTGTAATTGTGTCCCAGTGTTTAATCCACCAGTCCCATATACTTCTTGATGCTGGACAAGTGAGCCACAACTGTCTGTTGGTTTCCCACATCCATTTGCAGCGCCCACAGCTTGCGGACATTTTCATTCCTTTATTGACTAAGCATACTGCTGTGAGGCTGTAGCTAGAAACAGCTGCAGCCAACCAAAGCATAATCGCCAGCTTCCGGGAGGGTATTCTTTTGAATTGTTTGCAGAGCGATTGTTTGCAGAGCGACAGACTACTAGTATACCTGTCCAGTGGCAACATATCTTGAGCTTGTCTTCTCTTCTGGATTGAAGCTGTTGGCGGCTTTTCCAACTTCGCTCTGAGCACATCGGTGCCTTTCTTAGGAGTGTTTTCATCCATGGCCATCATCTTTTCTTTGTTTTTTCAACACAAGGCTCCGATCTATTAGTGGGATGGGAAGCGGCCCCAGCGGCCCTTATGAAATGTCAATATGTGAATTAAGTAGTTGGCTGAGAATTGCCCCGCTTCTACAACAGAAACTCGGTAGTGGGATCAAGTCAGTCCTAAGCGAAGGCCGCCCGCTGCAGCTCATTTATTTAATATTCATTCGATGATCCATGATTGAGTGATCTGCATCCCGTTCAAGCTGATGTAGCGGGCCCAGCCCAGCCCTATAAAGCCTCTTGCTCATTAGTAGTCAAAAACAATCAATCAATTGTTGGGGGGTTCAAAAAAAAAAAAAAAAAAAAAAGAAAGAAAGAAAAAAAAAAAGAAACTCCGAGAGGGGAGATTTCTGAACCAAGAGCAGGGTAGGGTACCGTTGGTAACGGCGCCTCTTCACCGCGGGCCTGCGCCCCACATGCCATCCCGATAGAATAGTTGTGACATTGTGGGACCTTTAGGGGTCCTGCAATGTGGGACCTCTAGCAACCCACAATGCGGGACCTTCCGCAGTGTTTGGTATGGGCGGTGCGATGATACGTCCGGCCTTTTACTAGGGCAGGGACTCGGATTTCTAAGGCTTCAGTTTTCTCACTGGTTTTCCAGTGCCTTAGGGGTCCCGTGCAAACTGGAGGCAGAGGCAAGGCAGTGTTACAGAAGTATATTATCCACTTCTTTTTCTTTCTTTTTTGTTATTAAAAGTTGGACCATTTCTCAATTTATGCGCGCCATCCTTGCGCAGGGGCCATCCTAATCTTCTCTGTAATATTCCAATTTTTGCGGATGTCCCGAAGGAGTATCCACTTCTTTCTGGCCGAGAATACTATACTTCTTTTCCCTGCTCAGCGAGCCGCATGTCAGTGGGTACACCCAATAACTGTTGAAACACAGTCCACATTAGGGGCATAAAAAAATACCTCTTTGAATGTAGGCTATTGAAACTTCATATATTGATTCCTATTTTATTTTCTATTTATTTTTATAATCCTACCAGGCTACCACTCTTTCCCCCCCCCCCCCCCCTCCACTCCCTCCACTACTTGATAAATGCACACAAAGGTCCTGGCTCCACTACTCTCGACATGCACAAAAGACAAAATCATGGCGGTGTATCTTTCCATGTTCTAGTGGAAGATTCACTCTCGTTTTGCACATGTTGATAGTAGTGGAGGGAGGCCCTTGTTCAGGCGGCAACAGTGGCACAGAAGGGCGTTCGTTTCCCGCCATTCACTGAGAGATGGTTAACTGAGGGCCAAAAATTCGCTCACTGTCACACAGTAATAGAAAACTATATTATTCCATGGCATGTGGGACGAGGCCCCCGTTATAGGGGCGCCTGCTCCAATGGCTATCTGCCTGGCCCACCTTATCCCTAGCACACTTTTCTGTCGCTGTTTCTGCCCCCTGTAAGTCACAATCTGCCTTAAGCCGCCACTACACGGCCCCAACCTTGCTGAAAAGAAGAAACTCGTTGCCTATCTGGGAAAAAAGTTGGCGCCAGCTCGGTGCCATCGCGCCATCGATTAAAGAAATCGGAGGCCAGCGTTGTGACACCCAACCTCACGCCCGGCGCGG